ACTGCCACAGGCAGGGTGCAGTGCCCCAGCTGGGCCATCAAAACCAGAGCATTGGCTGGGTCTCTCCACCACGGCGGTGCACAGCACCACTCCATGCCATGTCTGTAAGCTTGCACAAAGAAGCGCCTGCTTTCCCGCTCATCCCCTTCAGAGACATGAGGGTCCGTTCTTTTTTCTGCTGCAGTCTTGGTGTGCATGTGCCTGGTGATGATGGTTTGACTGATTCTTCATTTCGGTAAAAGCTCTCACATCTGCTTCAGCCTCACGTGGTGTGTTCATCTCCCCGTTTGGATCGGGAAGAGGACGCTGAGCCACCCTCATCCCTTCCTAGACCCCCCCATGTACATTGCAATGGGGTCAGGCCCCTCAGGATGGTCCTTGCCCCTGCCAATCTGCTCCCACCCATGTCTTCCTCAGCTTTGGGATGCCTGCCCAAGCCTGGAGGCAAATTCAGCATCAGGCCAGATGGGGACAGGCCTGCCAGGTCCCACTGCAGCTGTCACAGAGGGACTGCAAGGACAAAAGAGCCCCAAGGCTGAACCATGACTATCTGGTTCTGCAGAGCCAGCAAAGGCCTTACAGGTCCAGCAACCCCCAACCCCCTTCCAGTCCCAACACCAACTCACCAAAGGGACACTCACAGAAACCCAAACGTCCTCTTTAATCTGTCCATGCTCTGAGATGCCAAACAGAAATGAACATAATCTAATCTGGAGCCAAACCCCAGTGAACCCAGCACACACTGGGAGAAGTGAGTGCCCCCTTTTCCCCCATAGCCTTCACGGGCCTCCCACCAGCTTCACAGGCCACCAACACGGCAGATACACAGCCCACTCCAGGCCCTCTTCTCACCATCCTGAGGGCTGTGGGAGGGGACACCTTCCCCTCCACTGTTCCCTTTGCTCCAGGGAGCCTCCGAGGAGGGGAACGTTAGCTGAAAAAGATCTCCCTGACGTATTTCAGAGCATCTTCCTCAGTGTCCTCCCGGCCCGTTCTCTCTGCATAGGCACCGGCACCGGTATCAGGAGGCGACGGGAGAGCCGGACCGCGGTCGCCGGCTTCCCCCGCACTGGCTGTGCTTCCAGGAGCCTTGGCTGGCGTTGCCTGGTGCTCCCGCTCCTCTTCACTCGGCGACGGGGCCTTCTCCTCACCTTCCTCGCACTGTAGATTCTGACCAAAAGGTAAACCACCAGACCGGGCTGTGCACGACTCGACCCTGGGAGCACCCCGAGGGGGAAGGGGGGGCACACCCCTCGCCAGTCCCCACCTGCCCGGCGGAAGCTGCTTTTGTCGACCGAAGGCAGCTCCGCCGGCCCCGGCACGCTCCGGGGAGAGGACGAAGGAATCGGGACACCCGGGCGGCGTTCGCCAGCGCCCCCACACCCGCCTCCCGGAGAGGGGCCCCCAGGCAGCCGGGGGCGGCAGCGCTCCCCGAGCGCGCCCCGGAGCCCTCCCGGCCCCGCTCGGACACGACCAGGGCCGCGTCCCCACCCCGGGGGGGGGCGGTCCGGGCTCACCTCGGCCAGGACCGCCAGGGCCACGTCCACCAGCTCCGCCTCGTTCATGCAGTACACCACCGCCTCCGCCGCCCTGGGCACCGCACGGGGAGACACTCAGCGCGGGCAGGGCCCGGCCTCGCCCCCCGCCCCCGCCCCCGCCGCGGCGCTACCTCGGCCCCGCCGCCGCCCGCCGCCGCCCGGCCTTGGGGGGAGCCACCACCGCCCGCTCGGCCCCCGCCGCCCCCATCCAGCCCGGGAGGAGCCGCCGCCGCCGCTCGCCCGCCGCCATCCCCCGCGCGGCCGCACCGCGGGTGGGGGGCGGTGGCGCGGCCGCGGGAGGCGTTCCCTCCGTCCCTCCGTCCGTCCGTCCGTCCCTCCCTCCGTCCCTCCCCGAGCGGGAAGCCCCGGGCTGGCGCTGCCGCCGCCGCCGCCGCCGCGCTGGGACCCGCCGTATCGGCGCCGCACGGCCGGGGCGGCGGGGCCCCGTCACTCCCAGCCCTCTAACGGCTAAAGCGCGAGCGCAGGCGAGCAGCAAAACACGCACACATCCGCCCTCCCCTCCCCCCCCCGCCAAAAAAAACCCAAACAAACAAATAAAATAAAAAAAAAAAAAAAAAACGAAACCCATTAAAAAAAAGAAAAGAGTCCCGGCAGAAGCCGATGCTATATCGGCCGGGGAGGGCAGGAGCGGCAGAGACAGCGGTGTGCGGCCAGGCAAACACAGCTCATGCATCAGCCGTGAGTTGGAAAATGGGTTGAAGGAAAACTGAAAATAATTGTTTAGGTTACTAGAAGAACTTGAGCGATCAGTCGAACACCTGGAACACAAAGGTCGTTGAGCCAGGCAAGCGTGGTAACCACCACCTGGGAAATGCGTAAATTGAGAGAGACTCCTGATCAGGAACCCCTGTCCTTGAAGATTAAGGCCCTCTGAGAAATAATGAACTAGCTGAAGCTAGACAGGAGGTAAGAAAGCGCAGACATAAACCAGAGAAAGGCCAATTCAAAAATGCAAAGTTCAAGAAAGGCTCCTCCCCGAAGACCGCCAGAGACGGCTAGAGACCACCAAGGGGCCCTGTGGAAGCCTCCCCGAGACCTAAACCTCGTGGGTAATAGCTACGTAAATATGATAATGAGTTTAGGAAATTTCATGAATATGTATGTTAGAGCGATACAAGCTTTGGCTATTGTAACGCGCGGTGGACATGTCAGGTGGAATGATTCCCTCATGCCCCCGGCTGAAGAAAGTAATGCCTGACCGTTACCGGCGTTAAGGCGTTTCCATTCCCCATTTCGGTGACAAGTGCAGCGGTGGGACAGGGCGAAGCTTTGCCGCACGCCCAACGGTTTGTCAGCAGCCCCGCCCGCGGCCACCCCCGCCGTGTTTTACTCCACCACCTCTCCCGACGCACCCAAGGACGCATCCTCCGACAGCCTAACTTTCAACCGTTCAATAGTCGAAACCGCCGCATTTTCAGAGCCCCTGTCCGGCCGCCCGGGCCCCGCCGGGCCGGCCTCGCCCCGCCCCTCCCCTCTGACGCCCCCCGTGACGTCCCCCCGCCGCTGGTAGGTCGCCCCCTGCTGGCGCGGTTGCTTAGCGCCGACGCGGTTGCTTAGCGCCGGCGTCGACGCGGCGGGACCGGCAGCGCGGCAGCGTCGGGAGGCACCGGGGGCCGCTCGGGGTTCTTTTTGGCTCTTCTCGCCCTCTCCCCGCTCTCTCCCCCTCCCCGCCCGGGGCTCGGCAGAGCCCGCCGGCCGCTTCCCGCATGCAGAGGCTCATCGGGCTCCTCAGGAGGCTGCGGGGGCGGCCGCCGCCCGGCAGCGCTCCCGCGCCCCGCGCGGCCGAGCCCCGGGAGCAGCGCCGGGGCGGGCTGCACTGCGCGGCCGCCAGCGGTGACCTGGCCCGGCTGCAGCGGCGCTGGTGGCGGAAGTGGTTCCGCATCAACGAGCGGGACGCGGAGAAGCAGTAAGGGGCGGGCGGTGCCCGGCGCGAAGCCTCCCCCCCAGCCCCGGTGGAAAGAGCCGGGCAAAGCCCGCGACGGTCGCAAACGCCCTGAGGAGCAGGGGCGGCTCCGCAGCGGCGGCCCTTACCGGACGGGTGCCCCAGGGGGACGGGAGGGGGCGGATGCTCGGCTCTGCCCTGCCCTGCGGTGCTCTGCCGGCCCGGGCCCTGTCGTGAATGTCCTGCGGAGCTCGGCAGGCCGTTGTCCGAGCAGAGGCGGCTCCTCTCCTGTCGCCAGAGAGAGCGGCCTGCTGGAGCAGGGCATGGGGTCGCGGGAAGAGACGGTACAGCCTTCCCGTTGCTGTTCGAAATCCCGTCCCCTCTGTCGCTGGGACCCGTCTGGCACGGGACTGACCGGGGAAAGCCCAAGGCCTTACGCAGACTCCCCAGTCCCCTGTGTAGCCTCCGTAGACTCCCGGCTGCCAAGACGCGCTCTCCCTCGCCGCGCCAGGTGGCCGGGCAGCCCTGCCGGAGGCAGGGACCAGTGCCTGGGCACAGGAGTCTGGTTGTGCAGGTTCATTGGCACAGCTGAGGAAATTCCTCCTGACTCAGTGGATGTGTTGGGGATTTTCCCTAGCCAGCCCCAGGCTTCAGGTGTGCAAGTGCTGCCACCAGCTCTGGCAGGAGAGAGTTTGCTCTCGGCTTAGTTTTTGCCATTTGAGGCTTGTGGCCTTATGCGGTGGGTACCACAGCCTGAAAGGACGTCTTCAGCTGTGTGTGTCCGTGTTAACCAAACACGTTTAATTTCTAGGACGCCTCTGCATCTTGCTTGTGCGAACGGCCACGCAGCTGTCGTTCGATTTTTAGCAGGAAAAAAGTGCAAGCTAAATCCTTGTGACAGTTTTCAGAAATCGCCGCTGATGAAGGTATGTGGAATAGGTCACACTGTTGTACGTGGGGCTTATCAGTTATGCACCGAGCAATATAGACCTTGCATCATTCTTTACGCAGTCCTGTGTAGAAACAGATATGTTGTAGTCAGCGGTGAAGAGGCGTATGTTGCCTAATCTTTGAAGATGCTCACACTTTGCAGTGTTGGGAAGATGCGGGAGTTCTGTCAGAGAGAAATGTAGATGTTGGAAGTTATTCCTCCTTTGTGTCTTGTTTCCAGGCAGTAGAGCGCCAGCACAAAGACTGTGTGGCTATTTTGCTGGAGCATGGTGCCAGCCCTGACCTCAAAGGTCCCGGCGGCAACACTGCCCTTCACCTGGCTGCCGTCATTCCTAATAAATCTCTAGTGGAGCTGTTACTTGCGCACAAGGCCCATATTGATGCGCAGAATGAGGTAAGCTTGGACTTTGGGTAAGGCTCCTCTTCCTCAAACTTGCTTGACTTTTATGTGTTGTACTAAGGGAGATGACTTCCCCTTTCAGTTGGGATACACTCCGCTTACTCTTGCGATCACCGAGCACTGTGAAGAGATGGTCGAGTTCCTTCTTCAAAAAGGAGCTGATGTGCACGCTCGAGATAACCGTAAAAGGTGAAGGGTTTGTCAGAAATGCACGGGGGACTCCTTAGCATTGTTCAAGTTGGATTGATGGGAGGCGTAGGAATGAGCTTCAAAAGACAACCAGGAGCTGCCTAAGAGGAGCAAATTCTGTGTGAAAGCAGACCCACACTCGGCTGTGCTCTTAGCTCAGTAGACGATTTCTGAGGACTGCAAGAAAGTTTTGGCTGTGGTGCCACGCTCGTGCATACACGTGCCCTGAGTCTGCTCTGGGCAAGTGGTTGGCCTGGAGACCTCCTGAGGTCCCACCAACTGGAATTCTCTGATGCTACCCCATGTTTGGCTGTGCTTTCTCTCTGCCTATAGGAAAGGGAAAATGAATTGTTTGGGGAGCAAAGAGGGACTGAAGTGATGGCAATGCAATGTCTGCAGAAGCTGATGTATTTCCTGTCATTTCTTTGATGCTTTAGGACCACTCTTATGCTTGCTGCTTGTGCTGGGGATATGAATATAATACAAATTCTCCTTCATCACGGTGCTGATCTTTCTCATCAAGACCCATTTGGCTGCACAGCTGAGTACTATGCCAGGGAGTTTCAACATGATGAGTAAGTGTTTTACATCCTTGTTAGAGCAGCTGCATTCTCAGAATGTCTGTGCTGATGTATGGCCCTTTTGGGTAACATCACCAGGGTTTAATGAGGTGTCGAGACCTTTGTTGAAGCTGGGCTCAGTGACATCTTCTGATGCATCTGTTTCCATGTCAGGAGTGGATTTGGAAGTTGGGGGGAAACTTCCCCCAGCACTTCTCTCTTGAGAATCCACCTGTGTGCTACCAAGCTCCACTGAACTAAACTGACTAGCACCTGCCTGTGGTTTGTTTCAGAGGGAATCTAACTGATATCCCCCGAGTTAAACTCTGCAGCAGTTTTCCCTCCTCTCATGGGTAGCTTTGCACCCCTGGCCATTCCTTCACTAAGGTGGCTATGTGTGCTTAACAGCTACGCTGAAGGAAATAGCCCTCTTCCCTAGGGATGGTAGCCTAGTGATGGGTGAATGAACTGCATTATGCCTACAAGCATGCCTTGTCTAGCCATAAACCGCCGGTAACCTCTTGTCACTGGATCTGGACTTCATTTCTCCTCCCCTGCCCCTTCTGTCAGTCTGTGTCAATGGGAAGCAGGAGGGAAGGGTGCCTGGGTAAACTGTGGAGTAAAAACCCCTGCAGGAATACAGCATGTTTGAAGATTGCACTAGCAAAACAAGATGTTAATTCCTTCCCTCTAGGTTTCTGGCACAGTATCAGTGTTGCACTAATGCACCATTTTACATAGCAGCCTTGGTCTGGGGCACGTTTTTAATGTTTTTCTTTTCTTGTTTATTTGGGGGGTTTTGTTTGGTTTTTAGTTCTGCTTATGAAGCAAAACTGAAAGTGGTCTCTCTCTGGAGCCCCAACTGACCCTCTGTCAGGGCTGTTAGAAGATAACACCTATGCAGTGTAGTTAACCCCTGCAGTGCTTGAAATGCAACTGCAATTGCTGTTGGCCTCTTGCTACTCTCAGGTCCTCAGAATAACCGTGGGAATTTCTGAAGCCCTTCAAAGTCAGGACAGGGTTTGAGGAGATGTTACCTCAGCTTGACATGCAGAGTAGCTGCAGCATTAGTATAGCTTCACGCTAAGGTAGAGGCTCTGTAGTTAGATGTCAGTCTGACAGGGGGGTTGTTTATCTCACTGGCCCTCGAAACGGAGAGGGGGTTTATCACATGAGGCTGTAGCCCGCAGGGATGAGTTACTCCATAGACAAGAATTGGCACCTGTAGTGTGAACATGCCTGCAGTGAGTATTTCAGTCTCCACTACTCCAGTAGTGCAGTAAGTTGTGTGTGTGTGTTACCCGTTAGCAACTGGCTATGAATATGGGTAGGATGGCTCATGAATGGCTGCTGCTCTTCCAGTAGAGCATGTAGGCAAGTATGGGGGTATTTTTAACAAATGGATTTCCTTCCTTTCCATATATAGTATTGCTGACCAACTGGAGAAATACATGTTCTATGAAGGGATGGGAGAATGTTTTGCAAGAGGCACAGAAGGCCCAGCAGTAGATGGCAGGTTTTGCTCTGCGCTGACTGCTGAATTTACCTCGGGTGCACCTGCAGGTAGGAGGATTCAGTGTGGAGGAGGTGATGAGGACAAATCCCTGTGGCCTGTAGGAGAATAATAGTCAATTGGATGCAGGACTTGAGGGATGGGGAAAGATACAGTGAAATAACCACTCACAGCAGCGTTGTGCTTCTTGCCTCCTTTGTAGGTGTCTTGCCAGCAGCAGGAGCAGAGGAAGAGAAAGATGTAGATTCCTGGTCTGATTTTGAGGTACCTTCTCTGAAGGAGGCAGTGGTGCCTCACTTGGCTCACTTGCTTTTGGTCTCGTTTCCTTCTGTGGCTGCTTCTACCACATGCCTGTAACTGGGACCTGACATGCTGGTGCTGCAGGCAAGCTGTTCAGTGAGGTCTGGGACAAAGCGAGGGCAAGCTAATGACCTGGGTCTCCTAGAGCTGATCTCTGAGCTAGATTTCTAATACAGGACTGAAACAGTAAAGCTTCCTGCTGGTTACGATCCTCTGAAATCCTAGAAAGCTGTCACTGTGAGGATTGCTGGTTTTCCACCACACAGCTCTTCTTTGGATCCAGTCAATGTCAAATGGTTGCCCGTAGGGCCTACAGTCCAGATGCTTAGCTGCTTATGAGTAGGTCCTCTCTATCTTGGGCAAGTGTGTTTCATCCCCTTTTGAAAGCCCAGTTCAACAGAGATGCCTAACATGCTGGCTCTGTTTGCCCTTTTCATACTTTCTGCCACCCGTTACCATATCACAGCACATTGGCTGAAGCAGGAGCTTTGTGTTTAGAAATGGGTCGAGGAGGAGTCTGTGCTAATTTTCGTTCATGTCTTCTAAATTCCTCAGTTGGATTTTGAAGATCTAAAGAAAGAGTCAGCTGGCATCCTGCTTCCACCTGCGGATGAACACAGAGCACATGTGCACTCTGGTGCAGAGGAGCGTGGCAATGGCAAGTTCCTGGCATACTAAATGGTTACCTTTATAAGCTTCTCTGGAGTGAGGTAGATGGGGAGAAGCAGAGTGAAATAAGCACTCACAGCAGCGTTGTGCTTCTTGCCTCCTTTGTAGGTGTCTTGCCAGCAGCAGGAGCAGAGGAAGAGAAAGATGTAGATTCCTGGTCTGATTTTGAGGTACCTTCTCTGAAGGAGGCAGTGGTGCCTCACTTGGCTCACTTGCTTTTGGTCTCGTTTCCTTCTGTGGCTGCTTCTACCACATGCCTGTAACTGGGCCCTGACATGCTGGTGCTGCAGGCAAGCTGTTCAGTGAGGTCTGGGACAAAGCGAGGGCAAGCTAATGACCTGGGTCTCCTAGAGCTGATCTCTGAGCTAGATTTCTAATACAGGACTGAAACAGTAAAGCTTCCTGCTGGTTACGATCCTCTGAAATCCTAGAAAGCTGTCACTGTGAGGATTGCTGGTTTTCCACCACACAGCTCTTCTTTGGATCCAGTCAATGTCAAATGGTTGCCCAGTAGGGCCTACAGTCCAGATGCTTAGCTGCTTATGAGTAGGTCCTCTCTATCTTGGGCAAGTGTGTTTCATCCCCTTTTGAAAGCCCAGTTCAACAGAGATGCCTAACATGCTGGCTCTGTTTGCCCTTTTCATACTTTCTGCCACCCGTTACCATATCACAGCACATTGGCTGAAGCAGGAGCTTTGTGTTTTAGAAATGGGTCGAGGAGGAGTCTGTGCTAATTTTCGTTCATGTCTTCTAAATTCCTCAGTTGGATTCTGAAGATCTAAAGAAAGAGTCAGCTGGCATCCTGCTTCCACCTGCGGATGAACACAGAGCACATGGGCACTCTGGTGCAGAGGAGCGTGGCAATGGCAAGTTCCTGGCATACTAAATGGTTACCTTTATAAGCTTCTCTGGAGTGAGGCAGATGGGGAGAAGCAGAGTGAAATAAGCACTCACAGCAGCGTTGTGCTTCTTGCCTCCTTTGTAGGTGTCTTGCCAGCAGCAGGAGCAGAGGAAGAGAAAGATGTAGATTCCTGGTCTGATTTTGAGGTACCTTCTCTGAAGGAGGCAGTGGTGCCTCACTTGGCTCACTTGCTTTTGGTCTCGTTTCCTTCTGTGGCTGCTTCTACCACATGCCTGTAACTGGGACCTGACATGCTGGTGCTGCAGGCAAGCTGTTCAGTGAGGTCTGGGACAAAGTGAGGGCAAGCTAATGACCTGGGTCTCCTAGAGCTGATCTCTGAGCTGGATTTCTAATACAGGACTGAAACAGTAAAGCTTCCTGCTGCTTACAATCACTGAAATCCTAGAAAGCTGTCACTGTGAGGATTGCTGGTTTTCCACCACACAGCTCTTCTTTGGATCCAGTCAATGTCAAATGGTTGCCCATAGGGCCTACAGTCCAGATGCTTAGCTGCTTATGAGTAGGTCCTCTCTATCTTGGGCAAGTGTGTTTCATCCCCTTTTGAAAGCCCAGTTCAACAGAGATGCCTAACATGCTGGCTCTGTTTGCCCTTTTCATACTTTCTGCCACCCGTTACCATATCACAGCACATTGGCTGAAGCAGGAGCTTTGTGTTTAGAAATGGGTCGAGGAGGAGTCTGTGCTAATTTTCGTTCATGTCTTCTAAATTCCTCAGTTGGATTCTGAAGATCTAAAGAAAGAGTCAGCTGGCATCCTGCTTCCACCTGCGGATGAACACAGAGCACATGTGCACTCTGGTGCAGAGGAGCGTGGCAATGGCAAGTTCCTGGCATACTAAATGGTTACCTTTATAAGCTTCTCTGGAGTGAGGCAGATGGGGAGAGGCAGAGTGAAATAAGCACTCACAGCAGCGTTGTGCTTCTTGCCTCCTTTGTAGGTGTCTTGCCAGCAGCAGGAGCAGAGGAAGAGAAAGATGTAGATTCCTGGTCTGATTTTGAGGTACCTTCTCTGAAGGAGGCAGTGGTGCCTCACTTGGCTCACTTGCTTTTGGTCTCGTTTCCTTCTGTGGCTGCTTCTACCACATGCCTGTAACTGGGCCCTGACATGCTGGTGCTGCAGGCAAGCTGTTCAGTGAGGTCTGGGACAAAGCTAGGGCAAGCTAATGACCTGGGTCTCCTAGAGCTGATCTCTGAGCTAGGATTTCTAATACAGGACTGAAATAGCAAAGCTTCCTGCTGGTTACGATCCTCTGAAATCCTAGAAAGCTGTCACTGTGAGGATTGCTGGTTTTCCACCACACAGCTCTTCTTTGGATCCAGTCAATGTCAAATGGTTGCCCATAGGGCCTACAGTCCAGATGCTTAGCTGCTTATGAGTAGGTCCTCTCTATCTTGGGCAAGTGTGTTTCATCCCCTTTTGAAAGCCCAGTTCAACAGAGATGCCTAACATGCTGGCTCTGTTTGCCCTTTTCATACTTTCTGCCACCCGTTACCACATCACAGCACATTGGCTGAAGCAGGAGCTTTGTGTTTAGAAATGGGTCGAGGAGGAGTCTGTGCTAATTTTCGTTCATGTCTTCTAAATTCCTCAGTTGGATTCTGAAGATCTAAAGAAAGAGTCAGCTGGCATCCTGCTTCCACCTGCGGATGAACACAGAGCACATGCGCACTCTGGTGCAGAGGAGCGTGGCAATGGCAAGTTCCTGGCATACTAAATGGTTACCTTTATAAGCTTCTCTGGAGTGAGGCAGATGGGGAGAAGCAGAGTGAAATAAGCACTCACAGCAGCGTTGTGCTTCTTGCCTCCTTTGTAGGTGTCTTGCCAGCAGCAGGAGCAGAGGAAGAGAAAGATGTAGATTCCTGGTCTGATTTTGAGGTACCTTCTCTGAAGGAGGCAGTGGTGCCTCACTTGGCTCACTTGCTTTTGGTCTCGTTTCCTTCTGTGGCTGCTTCTACCACATGCCTGTAACTGGGACCTGACATGCTGGTGCTGCAGGCAAGCTGTTCAGTGAGGTCTGGGACAAAGTGAGGGCAAGCTAATGACCTGGGTCTCCTAGAGCTGATCTCTGAGCTGGATTTCTAATACAGGACTGAAACAGTAAAGCTTCCTGCTGCTTACAATCACTGAAATCCTAGAAAGCTGTTCACTGTGAGGATTGCTGGTTTTCCACCACACAGCTCTTCTTTGGATCCAGTCAATGTCAAATGGTTGCCCATAGGGCCTACAGTCCAGATGCTTAGCTGCTTATGAGTAGGTCCTCTCTATCTTGGGCAAGTGTGTTTCATCCCCTTTTGAAAGCCCAGTTCAACAGAGATGCCTAACATGCTGGCTCTGTTTGCCCTTTTCATACTTTCTGCCACCCGTTACCATATCACAGCACATTGGCTGAAGCAGGAGCTTTGTGTTTAGAAATGGGTCGAGGAGGAGTCTGTGCTAATTTTCGTTCATGTCTTCTAAATTCCTCAGTTGGATTCTGAAGATCTAAAGAAAGAGTCAGCTGGCATCCTGCTTCCACCTGCGGATGAACACAGAGCACATGGGCACTCTGGTGCAGAGGAGCGTGGCAATGGCAAGTTCCTGGCATACTAAATGGTTACCTTTATAAGCTTCTCTGGAGTGAGGCAGATGGGGAGAAGCAGAGTGAAATAAGCACTCACAGCAGCGTTGTGCTTCTTGCCTCCTTTGTAGGTGTCTTGCCAGCAGCAGCAGGAGCAGAGGAAGAGAAAGATGTAGATTCCTGGTCTGATTTTGAGGTACCTTCTCTGAAGGAGGCAGTGGTGCCTCACTTGGCTCACTTGCTTTTGGTCTCGTTTCCTTCTGTGGCTGCTTCTACCACATGCCTGTAACTGGGCCCTGACATGCTGGTGCTGCAGGCAAGCTGTTCAGTGAGGTCTGGGACAAAGTGAGGGCAAGCTAATGACCTGGGTCTCCTAGAGCTGATCTCTGAGCTGGATTTCTAATACAGGACTGAAACAGTAAAGCTTCCTGCTGCTTACAATCACTGAAATCCTAGAAAGCTGTTCACTGTGAGGATTGCTGGTTTTCCACCACACAGCTCTTCTTTGGATCCAGTCAATGTCAAATGGTTGCCCATAGGGCCTACAGTCCAGATGCTTAGCTGCTTATGAGTAGGTCCTCTCTATCTTGGGCAAGTGTGTTTCATCCCCTTTTGAAAGCCCAGTTCAACAGAGATGCCTAACATGCTGGCTCTGTTTGCCCTTTTCATACTTTCTGCCACCCGTTACCACTATCACAGCACATTGGCTGAAGCAGGAGCTTTGTGTTTAGAAATGGGTCGAGGAGGAGTCTGTGCTAATTTTCGTTCATGTCTTCTAAATTCCTCAGTTGGATTCTGAAGATCTAAAGAAAGAGTCAGCTGGCATCCTGCTTCCACCTGCGGATGAACACAGAGCACATGTGCACTCTGGTGCAGAGGAGCGTGGCAATGGCAAGTTCCTGGCATACTAAATGGTTACCTTTATAAGCTTCTCTGGAGTGAGGCAGATGGTGAGAAGCAGAGTGAAATAAGCATTCACAGCAGCGTTGTGCTTCTTGCCTCCTTTGTAGGTGTCTTGCCAGCAGCAGGAGCAGAGGAAGAGAAAGATGTAAGATTCCTGGTCTGATTTTGAGGTACCTTCTCTGAAGGAGGCAGTGGTGCCTCACTTGGCTCACTTGCTTTTGGTCTCGTTTCCTTCTGTGGCTGCTTCTACCACATGCCTGTAACTGGGCCCTGACATGCTGGTGCTGCAGGCAAGCTGTTCAGTGAGGTCTGGGACAAAGTGAGGGCAAGCTAATGACCTGGGTCTCCTAGAGCTGATCTCTGAGCTGGATTTTTAATACAGGACTGAAATAGCAAAGCTTCCTGCTGGTTACGATCCTCTGAAATCCTAGAAAGCTGTCACTGTGAGGATTGCTGGTTTTCCACCACACAGCTCTTCTTTGGATCCAGTCAATGTCAAATGGTTGCCCATAGGGCCTACAGTCCAGATGCTTAGCTGCTTATGAGTAGGTCCTCTCTATCTTGGGCAAGTGTGTTTCATCCCCTTTTGAAAGCCCAGTTCAACAGAGATGCCTAACATGCTGGCTCTGTTTGCCCTTTTCATACTTTCTGCCACCCGTTACCATATCACAGCACATTGGCTGAAGCAGGAGCTTTGTGTTTAGAAATGGGTCGAGGAGGAGTCTGTGCTAATTTTCGTTCATGTCTTCTCAATTCCTCAGTTGGATTCTGAAGATCTAAAGAAAGAGTCAGCTGGCATCCTGCTTCCACCTGCGGATGAACACAGAGCACATGCGCACTCTGGTGCAGAGGAGCGTGGCAATGGCAAGTTCCTGGCATACTAAATGGTTACCTTTATAAGCTTCTCTGGAGTGAGGCAGATGGGGAGAAGCAGAGTGAAATAAGCAGCGTTGTGCTTCTTGCCTCCTTTGTAGGTGTGTTGCCGGTAGGAAGAGCAGAGCAAGAGGAAGGTTTTGACTCCTGTTCTGAGAATAAAGTACTTTTTCTTAGAGAGGTAATGCAGAAGTCACGCTTCTGTAGCCCTGATACTGAAATGCAGTGTGATGCTGCAATGTTGCTGGGGATTCCTTTCCCCAGTGCCTGTCTGTGACAATGCTAACTCCAGTTTCTGCACTGGAGAAGAGGTTCAGCTAAAGAAGGATGCTTCAATTCAAGCAGATTGTCACTGTGACAGACAGGTGACTTTATAAGAGACTGACACAGACAGCCACAAATAGAGCCTGTCACTGTATGGAGACCTGTTCTTGCTACTGAGTTCCTTGTGGAGTGATGCTGAGAGGAGGTCATTGATTGTGGACCTGAAGTGTATTTCAGACCTCATCTCGTTCCTATTCTGAAGCAGAAAAGCTGCAGAGGTTGCTCAACGTCCCATCCAACCTGACTTTGAACACTTCTAGGGATGGGGCATCCCCCAACTTCTTTGGGCAATCTGGTCCACTGTCTCACCACCCTTGTTTCAAAAATGTTTTCCTTCTGTCCAATCTAACTCTACCCTCTTTTAGTTTAAAACTGTTGCCCTTGTCCTGTCACTATGGACCTTGGTAAAAAGTGTCTCTCCATCTTTCGATATTGCTATTTCTGTATTTCTATATATGCTATAAGATCTCCCCAGAGCCTGCTTTTCCCCAGGCTGAACAACCCCAACTCTCTCAGCCTTTCTTCATGGGAGAGGAGTTCCATCCCTCTAATCATTTTTGTGGCCCTCCTCTGGACCCGCTCCAACCGGTCCATGTCTTCCTTGTGCTGGGGACCCCAGAGCTGGATGTAGTACTCCAGGTGGGGTCTCATGAGAGCAGAGTGGAAGGGGAGACTCGCCTCCCGCGACCTGCTGGCCACCCTGAAGACCAATCTAATTATATAATCCTATGACTAAAAGCATTTCTCGTCTTGCCATCTTCTTACCAATTTCTCCATGTTCATGGAACACCGTTTCTCTAGAAATGGGTCATGCGGCTGCAGCAAGATCTTGCCGATGCTCTCAGGAAGAACTCCCTGGCAGAAGCTTCACTTGAAGCTAAGAAGTGCTACAGCAGGGACCTGCAGGAACAAAAACTGCGGTTGCAGAAGGAACTAGACAGATCTAAAGCCAAGGTATGGAGAAAGCCTGTCTCTTGACAGGGGCCCTGGCCTTTTTTGTAGCAAATCAGAGCAGGGAACTGACCCTTTCTTGGGGGTTTTGTGTAACCCAGGGTGATTCCGTGTGCAGCTAGCTGTGATGAGGGAGCTGGGAGGGAACAGCCCTGCTGCCTTTGGTGCCTGCTTGTTTGCACCACTGGAAGTAACAGCAGAGGGCTGCGTTAAGGTGGTCTTAATATACTAGACAACTTTGCAACGGGAGTAGATTAAGGGACATGTAAGTGACTCGCCTCGTTTTATAAGCCTGGCGCCTACGATTAGAAAGGTCACTAACTGTGAAGTCACTTTGTCCTTAATTGGAGAAGGGGGGGCGTATTCCTTTCAAAAAGCTGCTTCTCAGGTTTCACAGAGCAAGTGTATTTGCTTCTTTGGTTTTGGCAAAGCAGAGTGTGTGCTGCCTGAGGAGGAACAGGCACACTGGAGTGTTGCACTGGTGCTTTTTTGTATTCCCTCCTCGTGTCGTCCTTGTTATGGAGTTGCAAAGTCACTTTAGGAGCAGGCGGAGCTTCTAACTGTGTTGGAGGAGCCAACAATTGACTACAAAGAGTGTTTGGAATCCTTGAGAGAGAAGTGTCATGGCAGCATTTAGGAAATGCTGTAGGAAACCAGTATAGACATAGGAGAGGGGCCAGTCTAAAAGATGAAGTAACATGGGTTTTGAGAGTCAACATGAGAGTCAAAGCAGTTCACTCCCTTTTATCAAACCAAAGCCTGACTACTGGGGATTGTTGTGCTCTGACAGCTGCAGGAAGTGAAAGAAAGGTATATCTGCACGGAGTGTTATGCCGAGTCCCTGAAGAATGCCATAAAGGAGAAGGAACTAACAACTTCCAGGAACGTGCAGGCCATTCTGGCCATGCCTTCTGCAGCTGTGGCTATCCCAGAGCTGGAAGAACAAGTGCAACAGTAAGGAAGTAACACAGTGAAGCCAGGCTTCACTTTCTGTGACTGTGTGAAAACAAAATGACTGTCTTGCACCCCAGCAAGATAATAATAGAGTTTTCAAAGATGCTTTTGCTTTAGATAAGGTTCTTTCACACTCTTCTTTTGGGATTTGTGCTCTTGTGGACTTCTGCGATAAGGTCTATACTTCTTTTCCAGGCTCCAAGTTGTAATGACCAGGCTGGAAGCCACAGCAGAGCAACAAGCCAAGACCACTGAAGCCCTTCAGAAAGACCAGCAAGCCTCTGCCTCAGTAAGCTAGTCAGAGCCTTCCCTTTTCATGAGCTACAGAGCTTAGGTCGGTATTCCTGTGGGGAAATTTGAAGAGGTTTTCCTGGGGGGCCTGGGAGAGATCCGTTCCTCTGTTCTCCTGACTGTAGGCTGCCCTGAAAGTCCTACTGGCTCATTTCCCAGCTTTCTGGCTTTGAGAGTTGTCCCGTGAGGCTCCAGCAAGTCCTACATAATGCCATCTTCGTTAAGGAGTTGCCAGTAATGCACTGGCTTATTAAGTATTTTCTGCTTTAGACCAGTCATGAGGTTGAGACCTCTGGCAGCACCTCAGACAGTCATGTAGTAGAGGGCTTTGGTACCTTTGGTTGTGGACTTTCCTTGGGCTCTGGTGCTGCCAAGCGCTTCATCCTGGAGGCCTGACTGGCATCATCAGACTGTGACAGGAGTTCTTCCGTTGCTTGTACTCTAGTCACCTTCCCATTTCAGTGATTATGTATTCCTTGGCCAGAAGCTCTGGGTCCCTAATGCAATGAGACCTCCAAAGATGAAAATCCACAACTAATAAGGGAACAACACCTCCAAGGGCAGGATTTTGTGTGCTTGGGTAGTGTTGCGGGAAAGACAAACACTGTGTTGTACCGATACTGGCAAGAGAAGAAGAAAGGCTGTGAGGTGTGCTCTTCAGTCAAGGAAGTCCTAGCGTGACTTATTTTTCCTTCCTTTAATGCTGCTGTAGGCTCATAATGTCCCAGAGGACTTGATAACTCGCTTTCAGACACCGTCTGCAAAGGAACACCTGAGCGGCTTTTGGGAATGACTGGTTTTAGGCTTGGAATTTCTTGTGGGCAAGTGATTTATGAAAAGATTGGGTGAGCTGTGGAGAACCCCCCAGGTTTTTGAGCAGGGTACCCTCAGGGGAAAAATCTATACATTTCCTCATTCCCCTGGTGCTACTGTGTTTTGAAGCTGTTTGGTGGACAATATGTGGGCACTTGCGTTCATCAGCATGATTCCTTTGATGGATCAACTGTGTGCTGTGGACAGGAGAGAGATCTGTGGTTGAGAGCTGCGAGAGGACACTGGAGTTGGGAGATCCAAAGCACTGTCTGCATGTTCTGCATATGGATCCTGTTCCCCTGCTCTCTGTGTGATGTATCTTTTCTATTTTGAAAGCGTGAGAGTGAAATCGAGGAAGTGAAGAATCTAGCTGTGATGAAATGCCGAACAGAAGCACTTCTGAAGAAAACGGGGAGAAGAAACATTGCAATGGAGCAAGAGCGTACCAGGCATGGCTTTTTAGTGCTTTACAGAAACATCATATTGAGTAGAAGTTGAGCTTAACTGAACTCTAATGTAAAAGCATTGTTTGCAAACAAATTCAGGCCTTGCATTCAATCTTGAAAGGTGCTTCTGTGCATGAGCCTATGGTTTTAAAAAGCTGCAAAAAGCTTTGCAAATGCAGGCTGCCTGCAGTTCTCCTGAGAGGGAAGAAAGCATTTTCTTCCTCTGTTCAGGTAAACTTTGGGCCCTCCCAGTCATGTCTGGCACTGGAGTGCTGGCTGCTTTCAGGAACTTCTGGCCTGTCAAGCATGTTACAGATGAAGCAAGCCATGGCAGTGCTGCTTACATAAGAAAGGCCAATTGTTGCTTTGCTTCACACTCTCCTTACTAACTTGCTGTGCAGGTTGAAGAACCTTCTGGAGAGCTCAGACAAAGCTGAGTGTTATGTAAGGGGAAAGCGTCAGATTCCAGGCAGAGATGAGGAATATCTGTTCTGAGGTGGGCAGCAAAGCTGGCAAACTAAGGCGAAAGGTGAGTTCTGGCTCATTTGGTGGATTTATGGTGATTATTTTTTTCTGCTGCAACAGGCATGATTCTTTTCCTATACTTTTTGTCTGTGTTGCTAATTATCTACTACTGTCAGCACGTGCCAAACACAGTCTCCCTGGCCACCCACCTGATGGACTTCCACAGAAGTGAGGAACTTTAGAGCTCTGTCTTTGAGTTGCTTGTTTTGCTGCATACAAGTTGATGATTTTTCCCCAACACCTGGAGATGCAGTCAAAAACACACATGCAGCAGGCAAGACAAAACCAGAACTCGCAAGAAAAGTTGTCTACTTTGTGTGAGACTCAGAAAGAACCAGGGCTTAACCTCAGAAGGCACTGGGAGGCTAACATGGTAGGTCACAGCCAAAAAAGACAACTGGGGGAAAGAGCTGGACAAGAAATAGGGAAAAAAACGCAAGTTGATCCATATCTCCACATAACGCAGTTTTCCACGTGAGTCTGTACTGTAACTTTGTTGTTGACATGTTCGAGCATTTGGTTTTTGGTATCTGGATCTGCACATTAGTGCTGTACTTCCAGGATCTACTTTCAGTGCTGCCTTTGGCCCAGCCTGCTGTAAAAGTAAGGCACAGCCTTTTCTTTTCCTGCCCTTCCCCACTCACAGGTGAACCTCCCATACCGTTAGTGATGAGAAGATGCTAGAGAAGAGGAAGTTCCAGTGCCAGAAAACAGAGTGCTCACAGGAAGATGAAGGAAGCCTGGAAAACTTTGCCTTCCACCATGTGCAGCCATGACCCTGCATCTAATTCCAAGTGTTCTGTTGCAGCTTAGTATTTAATAAACTGTGTTTTAGTCTGTTTTGCTGCACAACCGGAGCACTTTGTCCCTAGCAGGTTTGGATGAGAAGAGTCCTGTCTCTGAAGGCTCACTGAGGTTCTCTTTCAGTGCAGGCAGTTGGTGTGTTTCTCTCTGCCCTTGCTCTGAATGAAAATCAGTCCTGCGGACATCTCCAAGAGGGAATACACATCTACGTTCTTTTCCTCTGGGGAGACTTGAACTGTGATTGTGCCCAGATCAGGGCCTAGTGCTGAGCTACTGCTAATAATAAGTTACCAGACTCTTCCCGCCTTTTTAGAGCAATCCTCCTGGTGGTCTGGGCAGAAGGTGGTAGGGAATCTGATGGACATGTAGACTGCTGAAAGGCAAAGGTGTAAATAAGTGGTGACAAGCTGAAGCAGGGTGAGTCCCGCCTCAACCGAAGGAAAAAGCTTTTCTTTTGTGAAGGGGGTGAGAGACTGCTCCCTTGGGGACAGGGAGCCCAAGGGGGTCAGTCCCCCAGCCAGCAGGGCAGGGCCCAGCCTTGGCCTATGCGAGCGAGGGGAGCAGGGTGGCCCTAGGGCGGGCAGCCGGGGCAGCCAAGAGCCTAAAGGGACAAACACGTGCCTGGTGAGGTGGCAGCTCTGAGGGCAAGCCAGAAGTCAGGCGTGGTGGTGGCAAGCAGGGTCAGACACAGCCCAGTGATGGTCAAGCAGGGCCCTAGGGAGGTCTGGAGCAGCGAGGTCCATGGCCAGGCACAGCTGAGCCAGAGACACCACGACAGAGCTTAGGCAGGGCCTGGCGGCCCCAGCTCAGCCTGCTGCTGGCTTGGTCGTGCCACAGAGGTTGTGGAGCCTCCATGCTTGGATATGCCCCAAATTGGACGTGGTCCTGCCCTGGTTGACCCTGCCTGCCTCAAGTGACCACACGAGGCCCCTTCCAACCTCAATGAGGCTGCATTTCAGCGATCTGGAAACGTCACGCTGCAGGCCGTTTGTTCAGCTAGACCTCCCGCCTGCTTTAGTGAGCTTTTTGCCCAAATCTGACCTCATCTTAAGTCTTTGTTGGGCTACATAAAACAGTCAGAACAACTGCAAACTGTAGCCAACATGTCCAGGCACAGAGATTGCAACCACTTTCTCAGTCACCAAGTCACGTTGTGAGGTGTGATGCCACCAGTGAAGAATGTCTGTTAGCCAAGCCAATCTTCACTTCCAGCCCCTGCTTTGAGACCTGGAGGTGGAGAAGAACCATCATGTTCCAGGTCTGGCTGGGCAGCAGGGGAAGCTGCCAGCTATGGAGGTCTACCTGGCCCAGTCCCCATCTCTTCAAGTGCAAGGGAGATAGCTAAGATATGCATTGCAACTTTGGCAGGCCACTCTTCAAACATGCCAAAGCACACTTGGCAAAACCCAAGTAAAATAACGTTCCACTTCTTTTCCAGGCAATCCCCCATCACATTGGTAAATGTTAACAGATGTCCAAGCTCTAAAACCAAAATGGCCTTTGGAAAATACCAAAGGTCTCTTCAAACAATTGACTGGATCCATTCCTCCCATAATTGAGAATGAGAGCTCTGCCAAGGCACAATAGTACTGTAAACTCTCAATAAAGGGCAAGGACAAAAGCAGAGTAAACTCCGCTGTGATGTGTAAGGAGATGACATCTGGTTGCTCAGTCTATTCAAAGGCTATGCAATACCTGAGCACAGCACCTGCCCTGATGTTGGAGGTGTGCAGGGGGAGACGCAGTTCCAGTGACAGAGACCACTCTACAGGACCAGAGTGGTTCTGGCCCTCCCTCCTATCTGCCATCAAGTAGCTGCTAGGCATCATGTAGCCTCTGAACTCCAACACAAGCATTTCAAAAAGCCTGACCCAGGATCTCTCCTCTAGTTGGCAGCATCTATCACAAGGGAACACAATACATCCAAAAGAACACAATTATTTTTGTTCCTGGATGTCTTGCACTGGCTCCCCCCAGTTTGCGAGTGTCGGTGCCAGAAGCACCCGGTGAAAGCACGTGGGTCTTTTCTCCATTCAGGAGACTTCCTTGGCACACCACCGTCCCAGCCCCCCTCCATGTTTTGCAGCAAAAATTTAACTGAGCACAGGAATCAAGTGCAAGGGAATATTTTCTTTTTATGGCAAAAAAATAAACAAAAAAAATCCAAACTAAAAACAACAACACCCCGCCCCCCCTCCCCTCCAAACACAACAATAAATGCTATACTGAAAGGATACTCTAGTTTCACACTGGCCTTTCCAGTTTGAGCCATCTTATCATCATGCACTGTGCTGCCTCATACACGCCTCTTCCAGCCTCACCACCTTCTGCAGAACCCCTGACATGATCCCAGCAGCCTTGTAGCCACGTGCTACTCAAGACTCCCTAACAGATGAAGTCCAGCTGCCACAATGGGTCAGCGAAGACTTATTTTTCAGTGCTGCCACTGATCTGGTCCCATACCGGCATTCTATTGCACAGTGGTTTGGCAAATGTTTTTAACGTTTGTCAAGAGGCAAAAGCTACGATGATTGTGGTTTGCCTTCTCTCCCATGCAGTTTGTTCCTGTGGAGTTAACACTGGTTTTGTCGAGTCTGTTGATCTTTCCCTTCACTACTGTCCAGGTTAAGACTTTTGAGCCAGTAAGGTGGTTAATTTAATCTTCCCATCCATCGAGGCAGTGAGGCAGGTCCCACAGTCCATAGCCGTGCTCCAATCCACTGTGACAACGGGAGCTCGGTGTCCTCCCAGGGAAAGGCAGCTCTCCAGAACTTTGTCCTCACCATTTAACTAAAAGAAGGAAAACGTAAGATTTTTAAGGAGGCAAGTTTCTACAGTGGGGGCAGCCCACCCACAGGAGAAGCCAAAGCCTGCTACAGATTCCATATCCCTATCAGCATACATAATTAAGCAGAAAATCAGAGATGTATGTAGCACACAATGAAGTTAAGTTTCCAGTCTCATGACAGAAGCACGTGTTCAAGCAGCTCAGCTTCTGACATCAGCTGAGCTGAAGTAATTGAACACGGCAGGCTAAGAGCAAACTCTGATGAGGAGCACATAAGCCTATAGCTCCTGTTAGTGCAGGCACTCTGAATGCCCCAAACGCAAAGGAAAAATTCCATCTAATCTGCCTTGCAATGGCTTATCCTGATGGGTATTGACTCAAGAGGAGGCAGGCAAGGGACATGTGATCAGTTACCACTTGTTACTGCGGCACAGAAACTTGGGCACTTGGAACTATTCAGCCTTACCCTTCATCTCATTTCAGTACACAGTAGAGGAGAGAAAATCAGGCTGGGACTAACAGCTTCAGCAAGCACACAACTAGATTAAAGATGAGCATCAATCAAGAATCATGCATTTTGCGTTGAACAGGCATGCGTCGATATATTTAAAGAAATTAAAACTCTATCCAAGGAACTTGGGCACTAAGGAAAAGTGCTGCAGCTATGCTTTAAGAACAAGCTACATACAGAGGGCTTAATGCTTACAGAGGGTTCAAACACTTGAACCCCACACACTGCTAAAATACACACTTGTATGAAACTGAGCAGCAACTTTCACAAGGCAGGAATGGGTATCAGTAGGTGCTGCTTGAGAACTTCCAGTGGCTGCTGTTGCAGCCTTGTAACAAGAGCTTCTACGGAGGCGTAAGAGTACTCCCCATCGCTTCTCAGACCTACCTTAAAAATTACTCCCCCTGTGGAAGAACATGTCAACATGTAGTTTCCCTCAGAGTCAAAAGCAAAAAGCCTTCCTCGTGGGAACTGAACTTGCTTGTAGCCACTGTATCCAGACAGAACAAAAGGACCTGTAGCTTCACTGGGAAGATCATACTCAGACACCTTCAAGCCACTTTTGTGAATATTCCACTGAATAAACTAGAATGACAAGAAGAGATGGTAGAAGCCCACAGTTAAATTGACTGTGATTAAAGTAGAGGGGCCATTCATTATTTTTAAGCAAGGCAGCTACTCTTCCCAAACAGAAGAGCACATTTTGATACCTATATCTAAGTGGCTATATTTATAAAACACAGGCTGCAAAGGCTGTAAGAGCTGCCTACTATCCAGGCAAATATACGCCCTAACTTCCACGAGCACTGCTGCCTATGTGTCCTTCCACATTGCATGCAGGATCCTGGTGGGAATTCACTTAAATCTCATCAGCCAAAGACTCACACTTTTAGGCAGGTGACTCTCTCCCTGAACCACACCTCTACTGCTGAAGACTCTGGAAACGCAGAAATTGAAACCTTTATTATAAGCAACAGGGAGCTTCTGACAAGGAAATTTATGCAAAGTGGTCAAGGATCTGCTCCCTGGTGAATCCCAGATCTCAAATGTGATGATCTCAGGGGCAAAGAAAGGTCATCTTCAAACAGATTCCCTGAGAAGGGGTTATCACCCACAGCAGGATTTGCAGACAAGGTCCAAGACAGCTCCAGCTGTTAAAATGCTTTCTATCCACTCTCTCTGGAGAGACTGCATGCAGCGGGGTGCTGCTGCACACCTAAGATTACAGCTAGCAGCCCGCAGATCCCCCAGATTCTGAGGGTATTCTTATTGCTATCTCCACCATATGGAGAAAACTCCGGAGGGGATCTCACTGCCAGCTGATCAGTAGAAGGGCACCCAGAGCCTACCTTGCCATCCTCGCCTATGCTGTAGACTGTGTTCTCATCATAGCTGAACTCAACGGAGTAGACTTCCCCATCGTGTGCCTTCCAGCTCATGGCGCACTCGTGCTGCTGCATATCTGAGGGAATAACCAGTACTGAACACTCCTCATACTCGCACAGAGCTGAGGTGAAGTGAGAGAGGCCCTTTGTGTTCATAAGGTCTCTGTCTCAGCCCTCGAAATCAGTGCAGGGGATCCCAGTCCAATCCCAGTACCCTGTGCTGATTCTTCAGCATGTGGCTTTTATACTGGCCACAAAAATCATTGCCTGTAACTAGTCACCTCTTCCTCCAGCTTTACAGGGCTGCTCACATGCTCAGTCAACTGCAGCCTTTCTGCACCTAAGCCCCACTGTCACCTTTCTTCCTCCCCCCTTGCTATCCCACCCACCCTCACAGCTGCTGCCAGCTCTGTCCTCCCACAGACCTGAACTGCAACCTCCAGCTCGCCACCCGGGGCCAGAAGCAGATCCCTCATTCACAGAAGAGGGAGGGCCAAACTGCCTTTATCACAAGGACAGGCTGAAGAGGACAAAACCTGAGAAACAGGAATTGCTCAGGGAAGGAGGACTGATGTCAAGCCCATGCCTTCAACTGGAAGGTCACACATTAATTCCTTTCCTTGAGGCTCAGCCTCTGGCAGTGGTACTGCTATGTGGCACAGCCAAGGCCACATGGCTAAAGGACAAGTTAACTCCACTCCTCAGCAGGAAGGAAGCAACAAATCCAGTAGCACTACAAGGGTCTCCAGGAGGAGAGAAAATAGCTTCCACCTTGGTGTTCAGGCATGTCTCACAGCTGCCTCCCTGCTGGCAGAACAGTGGTAGGGGCAGCCAGCTGGGGACACTGAGGGGCCACCTCACTGCCCAATTCCAACGTACCAAAGAGACGAACAATCCCATCTGCAGCCCCGGTGACCAGCAGGTTGCCGTTGTGATTGAAGGCTGTGCAGTTAATAGCAATGGGCTCAGGCTCCAGGGAGAACTGCAGCTGGAAGGGAAAGCCTGCATTAATGCAGAGAAACAGAGCTGGGAGCCCTGAGGAGCTGATCTCCAGGGGAGGGAGGACAGATTGTACCTAGCAGCAAGAAATCCTCCAGTTTGGAGCCCTGCACCTCTCATGACTACAGACTTCAAGGTTGGCAGCTGCATTTTACTGTGATACTAAACCAACAATTCACCTCAGCCAAGCCACAGCTTGCTTGGCCCTGGCCTCAAGGCTGCAAAACCAGCTTCTGGCAAACATTAGCTTGAGTATATTGCTTTCTCCTACACACCAGGGACATTTCTTAAGGGCAAATGCAAGGGATGGGACAAGGATTTCCTGCCAGAATCTGACCCATTTAAATTGAAACAATGGAGAAGATGACATGAGATGAAATCTCTGAAAGAAGCCCTTCACTTAAAAACAGAGAGGGATGGGGAAATAGAAGCAAAGAAAACCCTTCAATATAGCTCAGTTGGAGAAAGCCTGAGCAAAGCATCATTCAATCCACTTGGGACATTTCCAGTCACAAACTGTGCAGGCAGGATAGAAACAAGACTATGGACTATTTTGAAGAATCCCTCAAAAAAAAAAAAAAAAACAACCCAAAACATGCCAACAATACAAAACCACCCCACCCAAGCCCAGCAGCTACTCACACTATTCATGTTTATCCTGTGTGTGACAGAGGGGAAAGGAGGAAGGGGGGAAAAAGGTGTATTGACAAGAAAGTCAGCATAATTTAGAAAGAGGGCTCCTACACATTGAAACAGAAGACAACTCATTCTCAGCAAGCAGACCAAGAAAGGAACAAAACTCAGCAAGCACCTGCTGCTTCATTGTTTTAGTGTCCCACAGTAGCAGCTTCCCAGGAACTTGGTTCATGCTTTTGCCCCCAGAGCTGACTGCTGAGAAGTCCACGTGGGAGATGGGGCTCTGGGCTGCTGCAGAACAGACAAAGGAGGCACCACTTGGGCTGCAGGCAAGTGAGAGGATCCTGAAACACAGCAAACAATATGAATTGCCTCTCTCCAGCAGCTGCCTCAAGCATACCACTCGACTGCGAGCTCTCCCATCATCAAGACCCTGCAAGACAGGGTGCACTGTAAAGGAGGGCAGGATTCATGTGTTTAGACAGATTCTGACTGTCTCCCATTTAACTGAGCAGTTTTACGCTGCGCAGACAGGGAGTGCCCTCTAGATGAAGGTCTAGAGTCCTGTAGTTTCAGGAAAGCAGTAGGAACATTGAGACTTCACCTACCCTTCCACAGTCAACCAACAACATTTATATTTATATATAAAAATCAGTAATCCAGAGTTACCTGGGCATGTCTTCATCGATGCTGATTTCACAGAGATTCTTCTTCGCTTCTGTGTCATAAAGACGAACTGTCCCGACCCCACTGCCAAGCAATAGCTTGAAAAGAGGAAGGAGGAGATGGAAGGAGTGTGAGTGGGGAGCGCAATGATGCTGTTCAACCACCACCACCGAGTGAATTTTTTTCTATCTAAACAGTTGGATTAAACATTACTGCGTTAGGGTACAGCCTGTTCTGCTGTGTCTATCACGCTAAGTAAGCCTACCCCAGAGCCACAGAAGTCAGAGTAAAAGCACTGCCTTCCACGGAGAAAAAAGATTGGATAGGCACCAAGGTGGAGTAAAAGCCACCTTCTAGAGTATGGCTCAACATGATAGGTTGCAAAACTTATGTGGAGTCTCAATATCTATGGGAGCAAGGAAAGACTAACACTGAATTAACAATCTAAGTTTAAGAGAAAACCAAGTAGAAGCCACCTCCTTTCATCCAGGGAAGGATGAAATTATCCAGAAGGGCTCACACATGCTTTACAGTGGTGCTACAATTTAAAACAAAGTAAAACCATGGAGGGATGCATTATCAAAGAAAATTAAGCAAGCCAGATCCTTCTCACTCCGGAGCCTGATTTGCTACTGAATACACATATATTTCAGAAAGAAGAATCTATAAGCAAGCAGGAAATAAACTCTACAAAGCAGAAAAAAGCATCAGAACAACTGCACAGACAGCTTCCTTTTTAAGAGTAAAAGAAAAGAAAGAGACAAGCTACAGCACCAGCCCTTCACAGGTGGCATTTTGGGGTTAGCAGCAACACATGGTCAGGTGCCAGAATGGGAACAATATTCCCTCGGTTGCAGGCCTGCCTTCTCACACAGCCCTGTCTCTTCGCCAAGAGAGGGCACGAAACACTAACAACAGTTCTAGGACTCAGAATATAATCTAAGGCTCCTCTCTAGAAACAGAACTAGAGAAAATGTGCTACAGGAAACATTTAAACTGTCATATTTAAACAAGCCCCAAGCTGCTTATACACACACCAAATCCCAACCCATAAGACACCTCAGTAAAACTGGCCATGGAGTCCTTTTCACAGTTGTACAAACAGAATGCCAACACCACCCCCCCACGCCTTGGCCCTGCTCTCCCCTCTCTGCTGGCTCAGGGTGTGAGCAAAGCTCCCCAGCTCCCTGCTGCAGGGTTCCCAGGGGCCGCTGTACCAGGTTGCCTCTGCCCGCCCTTACAAGCGGCTGCCTGCTCTGCCTGTAGAGAGACACTTTTCTTAAAGGAGCTACTTCTACCCTGCAGCTGTACCTGCACTACAGCTTGGGAACTTCTTACGCACTTCTGTGCATAAATTTTTTCATATAGATAGAATAATGATCTGCAATACAAACTGTATAAAACTCCAGCAGTCATAGACCTGTCTAGCATCTGTCGGTGAAAGATACGTGAGTTTGCAGTCAGCCACCATCCTGAAATATCACAGATAACTAGCAGTCAGCAGGATGACTGATGTTTTCATTTCTGTCTTGCTCATACTGATGCTGCAGGCTGCAGACAAAGCACCCACTTTGATATGAAAGACTTGGAGTCAATAGGACAGCATTTCTGTGATGCTCTCTTGAACTGCTGTGTTCATAACAAGGAGGTAAGGAAAGTTCCCCCTAGGCCTTTTTTCCTGCCTCAGTTCATTCTGCTGTGACAAAACATAATGCTCTATAGGGTTGTAGCAATAATAAATTTGATAATGCCTTTCTTTAAGCAGTAAACTAAAATTGTGGTGTTTCTTACTATTATCGGTGCCTGAAGGGACATGAGAAAATAGTGAAACAGCAAACCAGGGTGAACTCCAAGGTCCTGAATTCTGATGTGTTAGACTGGGATTCCAGGTAATTTAGAATTATTCAGATATGCCATAATTTATTACATGTTTTCTGCACCTCATAAAGATTGCCAGAGTAAATGTTAGAAATGTTACTAAAATGAGACTTTTGTCACACTCCTTAAATTAACACTCCTTAAAAGATTGCATACAAATCTTATATCCAAATCTTAATAGCCAGTTTATTAGAAGTAGAGCTCTGTACCTACCCCAGATGGTCTTCCTGAAGAGAAATTAAACTGCATTGGTACAGAGCTTGGTCTACTGCATCACTTAAATTGATATGCTTTTTTTCAGCCTTATATTCTGCAGAGCAATCTAGCCACGATACAAGGTATATTGTTTGCTTTTGTGTAAACCTAATTTCATTAACCATGGAAGACACTAGGCTGATTCCATTTAGCCTAAGGGGTTAAGTTCAGGGTAACTGGTAGCAGTGCAAGAATCTACAATGACCAAAAAATACACCTATTAAACATGATCAGCTCCTCCTGTGCCAGTACTGGCTGTGAGTGACTGCAAGATCAGTTGTGCAGGTAGTTTGTGAGAGGTGGGCATTTATGTGTTATGAGCAGCTGTGGCCCTGTGGTCATTTATTAGGGAATAAAACTTTTGTACGTTTTTTTGGGGGGAGGAAACATTAATGGGTTGTATCTATCTTATCAAACTGTGCCCAGAGTATAGAAGTCAGGAGCTGAGCTTCACAAGTGGTACTGAACTGCAGGGACATAAGAAGAGACACACGATATTGATGCATCATCAGAGAACTAGGAGAAGGCTTGCTGGGAACAAAGAGGATGATGTTCTGTGAAAGGATTTAGGAGGGGAGGGAGAAAGTATGTGAAGCAGAACTAAAAGAAACCTAGGTAGAAGCAGGAGGTGCCATGTGGATAGATCACATCTCTTTCAATAACCAAGCTTTCTCTAAGATGATGATGCCCACTTTTTGCAGGTTAGCTGTAGGTCTGTAAACTAAAATGTGGATCTGGAAGACAGGCATGTGGAGAACACATTTACATCTCTACAACTAGGGTTACTACAGAAGACCCCTGCTAATGGTTGGAATGAATGCTGCAAAATACTGTTTGCAATCACCAAATTCGGAAATTAAACAAAACAATGCTCATCTTTCACAGCAGCGAAACTTCTGACAGCCCAGTCTCCTGTGATCTTGCTGCATACCAGCTAAAACGAGGCACCAAGGTACGCCATGACTTTTTCTGATATGTTTACATATCTGTCCTGAATGCCACTGGGAAAGAATCACCAGAACAGGCTCTATTTTGAAGAACCTTAGGACCAGAATAGTAATTAACAAATCAATAGTCAATAGAAATACAGTCCAAATAACAGTGCAGAGCAATAGTATTCATTTTCTCTATAGCTTAACCCCGATTGTCCAGAAGGTGGTGTTTTTCTTCCAAAAGAAGGTGGCTTGCTACCTGTCAGGTTCTGCAGTACAGACACAGGGTCAGGGTGAGGAGAAGGAGGGCAGCAGCTTTAAGCAGAAGGAGTACCGTGCCCATGTGCACTAGTGTCAGCCATACTTTGCAGATACCCAGTTCAGAGTGTTCAGGGTCTGTGTTCTCTTCTCACACATGCAGGCAGGTCATCATACTGGTGCTAAGTGCTGTCAGCGTGGGACCATTGCCTACTTCTAAACTCCTAGGCAAATGTAGCCCCAGATTTAAGAACGTGCTTTCACTTCAGGGCAATGAGACATTTTATTTTCCTGAAACCTGTATTTACTTTTTGCCGAAAAGAATAGGTTGAAACATGGTTTTTGTCCTTGTTTACATGGTGTTTATTTCTTTAGTGCCTGTGATTACCATAATATTATTCAAGATGCTTCCTGTAGATAAGCAAAACAAACTTTTGTTAGTGTATCACTTTTTGAAAGGTTGTGGATGAATTTTAGCCAACAATAATAGTTCCTGTAAATTGTTGCTTCCTGTTTGTGACATAAATACAGTAAATAAACAGTAAAAGGGGAAACTAGTACCAGGACTGTGTACTAAGAGTGTATAAACCTGAAGTGACCCCTGTAACAATTTGCAAAACATGCAGATAGGCATTTCAGATGTCTGGGCTTGTTGACAAATTGCATGATTTGGAGTTTTAGATCTCGTTTCAGAGATGATAGTTTGAAACACGATGCAGTCAGATAAGCTCTGGTGAGTGTACCTGTGGTGAGGGAAGCTGCCACAGATCCCTTTATGTGCTCTGCCCCTCCCTGGAGGCATTTGTCCCTGGAGGAGTTATATGGAGAATACATGTTTGTGCAAAGCCCTACAGTTCCACTTAGTCCCACTGTCATCCAGAGTTTAAGCAAAGCTACTGGGTTTTGTATTTCAGGAAGGTGAAGTCCAGACAGGCTTTCCACTCACCCAGCTCACCTGGGGGGTGGTAATTTCTGATGGAAGGGCTGTGAGAGTGGTGTTGGCTTTTAATGTTTACCCACAGCTTGAAATGTCTTCCCCTATTCTCTTCAGTGCTAAAGAACCAAGCAGGAATTTCCACCACTGATGCCATGGTATTTCCAGGACTATATCAGTTACAGAAGGTCAACCATAGTGGGTTGGATGAAAAGTCTCTTTTGCACGGTACCAGGACTGGTAGCAGAGGGTTGGTGAAAATATGCAGGGGAGGGATGAGTACTGAGATATTCTTTCCTTAATGTACCCTCTGTCATGTTTGGTTTTAGAATGTTAAGTTTGGGTTTGAGTTTATTCATACGTGAATGGTAAATCCACATAGGCACATTTCCCAGTGCTGGATTTAAAAAAAAAAAAAAAAAAAAATCATGAAAACTTTAGAATGAAAATGGTAAATGGACTGTAAAGTTAGCAATGTTTTGTGGTTAACACCAAGTATCCTGGGCTTTTTAGTACTTCTCAGACCTTCTTGCTTTCTTGCCCCACTTCCTCTCATCAGGCTGGCAGTATGCCTGTGCATGGGGCTGTGACATGGGGCTGGCAGCTCTGAGGACTAGCAACTTGAGAAAAATTTGCCTAAAACTCTGAGTCTTTCCACTTCATTTGCTAAAAATAGCCTTGTTTGTGTCTAAACACTCGCCATGCTAGTCAGTGAGATTGATTCTATTTTTTTCTGATATCCATTTCCTTGTGGTCTTTAAGTGGTACATACAAGCAAGGCAGGCGGGTTCACGTGATGTCTGTGACTAAGCTGTAAAGTGAGCAGGCTGCCACATAACTCTCATAACTGCTTATTGCAAAACATCTCTGCATGGTATTCATCCCAAGGATTGGGATTAAAAGCAGTATAATGAGATTTATCCAGATGACATGGGAGATGTGAAACCCTGCTGGATAATTGTGATTTCAGGGGACTTTCAAACTCGGAAAAATAATTGAAAGGGTGTAACACTGCTTTCGGTAACTGAAGTCCAGACAAACACAGAAGACCACTGCAAAAAGTTAGAGTACTGTTTCTTGTCCATTTAGTTTAGTCTGTAAAACTGGTAAACTTGCTTCGTGATAAACAAAAAAGAAACATCCAAGAACAAAGAAGGGCAGGGATGCCTTCCTAGAAACACTTGAGGAGAGCCATACAGAATCCACACAAAAGCATTTGTTAAAGCTTAATTACTTCAGGATCTGTGCTAAATAATGGATTAGTATATTCCTTGTCCCAACAGACTTTTCACATGATGTGATGGGTCATGTAACAACCACTTGCTGTCCTCCATCCTCTCCTCCTGCCACATTCTTTGCTGTGTACGCCTTCCACTTATATCCCTCTTATGTTCAGTCCCTGCCATGACCTGGTTTAACGCACTAATCTGATAGGAAACAAACCCAGCAAAAAAAATGAGATGGATTTCTGCTGGGTTAATGAGTTAAATCACCTCACACAAGAGATTTTTTTTTTTTTTTTTTTTTTTTTTTTTTGGCGCATCAGAGCCAGTTTAAGAGATGGAGAAAAACAGTAGCTAGGAACAGGGTCCAAAGTGGCAGAGTTTGGAGTGGGAGAGGCAGGACCAAGGAAAAGAGGTTTTTTCCTTCAGAAGCAGGAAGCCGTTAGGAGATCTCAGTGGTTACTCAAACCTCTCTATTATAAAAGTGACTACACTTTAGAAATTAGTAATTTAATAAACAATGAAGAGGAGCCTTCTGCAGCAGAGATCCTTCTAGGTACAGAGCCCATCCCATCACATGCCTCTTGTAGGAGAGGATGAGCATGTTGAGGACTGACCACAACTTTAGCCACCTAAAAGCCTGATTCTGCAAGGCTATGCCTGCCTATACCTATAAACACTGATATACATTGCAAAACTATTAGTTAAGTGGATCTTCACTAGGTCCTGTTCTGTAATTTCTGTGCTGAAACATAGGCAAAAACATCTTTCATGCAGTGAAATTGTATGAGTTGCATTCATGCATCTTTCATGCAGTGAATTCAGGTGCTTTTTCTGGATGTATACTAGGAGCAAAACAGGTCAGAGTGATGTTGTTCCTATGTAAAGAAAGTAACAACAGTTTATCCAATGAGTTTGAAAGAACAGTACCTTGCAATTCCTACAAGAAGAAGTTTCTTTCTTTTGTTCTTTTCCCATGTGGATCGACTTCAGGGACTATTTAAGGTTATTAGATCAAAAGACTTACCAAAATTTCTGTTGTTGTCCTTGATGGAAGTTCTTAAAGGCATTTGAAAAAGGTGACTAGCAAGGAACATCACAGGTTCAGTAGAGTTTTTGATAGAAATTCGTGCTGGAACTGTATGTAGCCCTTAACTGCACTTTGCTGATGTTCAGCCTAGAAAACTATATGGCCCTCAGATGTAAAATAGGATCACTGTTCATATTGCCTAGAGAAAGCAAACTGTCATTTGGAAAGAATAATTAATTCACATTAATATTGTGATGGGTAATATTATTTTTATGTACATAAACATTATAATCCTGACTGCTTTGTTAATATTTTCCTTGGTTCAGTAGGTGGACCAGTGCTTCCCAAGCTTTTTGCATTTTATGTCAGTGTTTCTTTTCAGAAACCCCAACAGTGGAAAAACAGAGCATAAGGAATTATTACTACTGAGAAAGCATGGCTGTCCAGGTTCCCAGACTAAAAATAAACAAGCCTTATTGAGTAGGAAGTGAGGTCCCTTGTCAATATGATATGTTTGTGTTCAGGTTCATAAATGTTTGCTGAACAGAACAGCATAAGGAATTCAATCTTGAGCAGCTTGCTTACATGTGTTCCTTCTGGCATTGTGATTATCATGTTTATTTGCAACTGTTTTGGCTTTTTTTATTTTGTAACTATAATATTCCCTCATGAATCAGAATGGTTATATACTATTTTCTGTGCAGAAAAAAAACAAAACATCAGGAAAACAGTTTCACGGCATTGCTAAGAACAGAAGTCATGAAAGCAAAAATGTGAGTATTCTTCATCCCAGTAGAAACATATTGTGCTCTCTTTCTGACCAGAGACTGATATATTCAACCACTGTTGGCAAACAATTTTGTCACCAAAAGCTGCTGACCTAGAATGCCCATTGCTCTTTACTGTCTGTTTCATGTATGAATGAAGTATCAACACCAACAAGTCTGGGGCAGGAAAAAATGGTAAAATTCTGTCTCATGAATATAGTTTGATACATTTAGATCTTTCTGTTAAGGAACGTGCCTTGGAGCTAGAGATTTTACCAGCTGTTCTTCATTCTCCAAAACTACTAACACCTCACTCCCTCAACTGGACCTGTTTCACTTCATGTCATTGAGTAAGATTTTTACCAAGTCCATTAAAACATTTTCTGTTGTGTTTTCCAGTCCAGTAGAGTGCTGTGAAGAGAAGTGAAAGGGAAAGGTCACAGGTCATTCTAGGGAAACAGGCAGTAAATTTTTTAATTAACTTTGAGATCATTACCAAGCCCCAGCTCTGAAATACTTGTGCTGGCAATATTTGTAAAGTTGCATCATGCCCCTTCCTGCCATTCAGAGTGTGTGATTTGGTACTCAGCATTAGCTGGCCTAGCAACCACCACGAGATTAAGTTTACTAAAGGGTTGTTGTCAGAATAGTTGGTATAACATCTAAGCTTTTTTTCGAATGTTACTTCTTCATTATTGCTGTTCATGCTATTTAGAAAATGTGTGCCTCATTGTAGCTGACAAACATTTAAAAATCCTAGATGAAAACATGTTATGTTCCTACTTTCATGGAAAGGAATTTAACTTAAATAGTTTTTTTATAATGCTGAGCACCCAACAATTTGCCAAATGAACACAAGTTGCTGAGTTTTCTGAGCTTTTGAAAATCAGGCCAAATACTAAATGCCTAGCTTTCCTTCTGCTTAAAAAAAAAAAAAAAAAAAAAAAAAAAGGGGGGGGGGGCAAAAAAGAAAGAAAAAGGAAAAGCCTGATATTTACATGTTACCTGTTTTCCCACTAGTTATTGAACCCTTACCAAGCTTCCCTGTCCTAACCTAGTGTACACTCATTGAACAGGCCATGAAGTGCCTTATCATAAAGATGATAATACCTTTTTGTCATTCAATCTTCTGGAACTTAATAATATTAATAATTTGTTCGTGTTTCTATTCTGTTTCACAGACTCAAGGCACTGAAACTCAACATAAGATATTTCAGGTACTTGACCCAGTGAAAAAAGGTAAACATTATATGTTACTTTGATTCTTAAAATCCCAGTAAGCCATTTTTTTCTGTAATCTCAAACCTCATTAAAGAGTATGTCCCAAAAAGATAAGTACAGAGTCCTTTGACTGGGATTTCACTCAGTCTCACCATTTGGAAGAGCTCATTTTTCTTTAGTTTAAACTGTCTTCACATTATTACACTCAGCTTTACTGATTGGGAATGGTCTCACCGAAGAAAAACTGAACCTGAGGTGAAAAAATATTTGGCAGTAGGGCACGCACATTTGTAATAATGTGCTTATTTGGTTCAGAGAGAACAGAGGAGAAAACTTCCATTGAAGTTAAACAAGGCAACCCAAATCCAATGGAAAATAGTCATCAACCAGAACTTTTTGGTTTCAGTACAGACAAAATGAAAGAAGCAAATGTGGAGGCTGAGGAAACAGAACTGGTGGACTTGTGTCATTGCAAGCACAAGGAAATCCGGGAAAGATTTAGGTGTCAAAGTGAACAAGCAGCTCAACATGAGTTCTCTTCATAGTGCGCCAGAAGGACAAACACAGTTTTTGCCTATGTGAAAATAGGAGGGAAAAGCTATCTTGATTTGTAGAACTTCGTTTAGACTACTACTGAATTACTTTGACTACTTCTGGTGTCATCATTACTTTAAAGAATTTTTTTCAGAAGAAGAATGCAAACGAGGACCCCTCAAAGTATGTGAGAACTGGAGACAACCTCTTATTGTGACACTTAAGAGTGTTCAGCCACTTCATAATGAAATGGGACTTTATGGGATGAAAATTGTCACCTAAAATATGACAATGTTCTTCACTAGAGTAGCTGAAAGTAGCAGAGATAGCTTCAGTTCATCAAAAAAAAAGCATGAGAAGCTGTGACTGCAGTTGATAACAGTCAAATTTGCATTAGAAATCAGAGGTGCATGTTTTGGCAGGGAATCAGAGCACCCATTAGTGCAAACTCCAGGAGATGTAGTGGGTTCTCTGTCCTGCTTCAGTCAAACACACAGTCTACACCAGGGCCCACAGAAAACTGAATGAAATTGCTAGCCTGTGTTTCATAATAGGCAAAACGAGTATTGAAATGATCTGTGGTTCTTTCAGGCCTTAAAAGCCTGGTTTTCATAAACTTACAATTTTAATGTTTCACATTAAAACAGAATAGGATTCTTACAGGGATGTAGAGTTTATTCAATCCAAGAGTTTAAGGTAGAGTTTTTGGTAGAGTTTTAATAGAAAACATTGCTGTGGACAGAGTACAGAAAAGGAATAGAATTTTTTATGCTTAGTGTCAAACTTTGTGGCTTCACAGATACCCACAAAGCCATGAAACAGCCCACTATCAAGCATAGAAAATCAACAAGTTAATCTATGAAGAAAGTACCAAAGTGAAATGTCCTGAATAGAAAGCTACCTGTCCTCATCCCACAGTGCCATAAGTCAGTATTAATTGATTTTAGCCATTATTACAATTTTTATTTATTCAAATAAACAACTCCTAGCAGTGTTAATTACAGCATTGTGTCACTTTTCTTAGATTCTTACAGCTCACATTATTGGCAACATTTTGCAAAACCAATAGTACGTTTCTCTTCAGCTCTGACATCTCCTACACGGTTAAACAAGCTTCATGAAATATTCCAAGAATTGCAACAAGAAAAAAAAAAAAAGGATTCTTCTCATTGATATAAAAGCTTTAAAATCATTTCCAGATGTCATGTCAGCAAATTATACAGAACAGTACTTCAGTCGATGTTTTCATGAGCAGAGATCTAGAATTCCTCAGTGAGGACTGGATGAGAAATATTAAAGCAATCATACATACTATCTGTGGTTTAATATAAATCTGTGAGTTTTATAGATTCATAGGGAGCTATGATAAATCAGCTAAACAGTAGAATGTGAGAACATATTACTTATTCTCTGCCTACATTAAGGATACTGGAATTTATTCTCAGGATGATCCTTATTCATGTCATTTTCACACTTCAGGTGCTGAAAATCTAACGATGTCGTGCTGTAGTAGTGTGTTTTAGTAATGACCTTGTGCTTGGATCTAAATTCCTGTCTTGTTTTTCTCAGACATGCACCCAGAGCTATGCTACCTTATGACTGCTTTGGTTTTGTCTTGGAGAACTTAGCCAGAAGAAATTAAAACAAAGTAGTGTGGTAGCTAGAAAACTAACGTATTAATATTTGGTTTGTGAAAGGGTTTGTAGGAAGAATGTGCCTGTGATAGGAGAGGACTGGATTCATTGATTCACAGGAGCGTATCCCATGTTCTTAATGTATTTCTTAAAACTGTGTAAATATAACTGGAAGGTTTTCCTGTGTTTTGCCTTCCCTCCTTTATTTTGGCCAGGAAGGTTGAATATTACTAATGACATTCAGTATCAACTGCACAAAGAACCTATTCGCTTAGAATAAAAGGAGCTTCAGAACGTTGTAAATATTATTCATGGCCGAGGGACATGCCTCCCCGTACACTGTCAGACCTGGTTCATCTCACCCGTTAATCATGGATTAAAGGCAGCTGCAGGCAGCTGGGGCCGCGGCCGGCCGGGAAGATGCGTCTGCCGGCTCGGGTCATGCTGAGAGGGAGGCCGGGGGCCGGGGCTGCGGCGGTGGTTTGGCCGCTTGAGGAGATGTGGTCGTCACCTGCCGTCAGCGCTGGGGCTGTCCCACCTGCCGACGTGCCGGAGATCTGTGTCTTGAGAAAGAAGATACGTGAGCCGCGTGCACAAGGAAGGGAGAGATTAAGTTAAAAGTGAGTCCTCCTCTGCCAGCCTGGAAGTCTGGGCACAAATCATTCCAGCTGTAATTGGCTTCTGAGGGACAGGCAGTCCAGTTAAATACAGTTTAAACACAGTTTTAGGTAATTGTACAGTTGAGTACATTTAAGTGTTACGACCGATGAGGGCTTGGCTGCCAAAGAGGAGATTAATAAAGAATGCATTTTTTAATACTTTTGCAATCTTGGGTGACTTCAAAGCATTCCCTTCGCCAGCTGCAGCTGTTAGTTCCAAGTCACTGTGTACCACCTGCAAAGGTTAAAATGTAACAGATCATGTTCTTCTAGGCTTTTCTGGAAGTTGACTTGCTTAGAGAAAGGGAAAGAACAGAAAAAAAAAAAAAAAAAAAAGTCCTGGCTCCTTGTTTTGTTACTGTGTTTTTCGGACCTGGACTGGAGTACTATCCCGCAGCCTGTAAAACACCTTATAACACTTTTTCCCTCCTCCTGCTTTTTCAGAGGTGTCTTATCAGCAGGGCATGTAGTGAAGGCAGGTGCTAGATATGTACCTGAAACAATTTCTAGCCCAAAGGTTGCTGTCACTCTGGTACTTTCACCTCCCCTGCACTGGGGCCCCTCTTCAGCTGCTGCCTGAATGCAGTGGCACCACCGCTGCAGAGGCTGCCGTGCTGCTTCACTTCCAGTTTCCCTGGGTGCTGGCACTGCTCGTGCCCCAGGACACCTCGTTCCGAGGCAGCTGGCCACCCTGCAGCGAGCACCAGCAGCTGAGCCACTCGTGAGCACATACCGCCTGCCAAGGTCACGCGGGTGGCCCCGACTCTCCTCTCCCACTCTTACCCATGTTGCTTGACCAGTGGGGCTCGACATAGGATTTGTGCTCTGGAAGTGTCTGTTATGACTCTAGGCCAGTGTCATTTGAATGACAAACAGTTGTTTTCCTTGGAGCAGACACTAGGAGTGAGAACATGTTCTTCAGCTGAGCTGCATGCATACCAAAACAAAATAATCATGTTGCCCTTGGCACCTCCCCTTCCCAATTTACAGTTTTATGCACACTGGAACAATTTCAGTGGGGGCTACCTAGATGGTCTTTATCCCCAAATAGCCTTTATTAGGCAATTGATAAAGAAGGGGAGGTGGGCATGTGAGTTGGAATCTGCTCCATATGAAGGTGTTAATCCCCACAACGAGTCATCTGAATAATTGACTTGATGTCCAGTGATGTCTGCTTACTGCAACTCTACTTACCGTAACAGTGACTGTATCAAGTCTCAGCCAGTGACTGAATCTGAAATGGCCAAGACAAAACTTGAATGTTTCATTGTGGGTTTTTTTCCTTCTTCAGTATATTTGGAAGTTTCCCTGAGATTCTCGAGGAGAGGGATTACTCCCTGAGCAGCTGAAGCCACCATTCCTTGATCATAGTAGAGAAACTGGAGTCATAAGCCACAAAAATCATTCTCTCCTTTCACCAAAAAAACAAAATACATGTTACACTCAAAAACATTTGACATAAAATCTGTACACAAATAGTCTGTGGAACTCTTTGCTAAAAGATGTCATATGGATGCGAAAAATGTACATAGATTTAGGTGGACATGTACCCTATAGCTAGACCACTGGGAGTTTTTGAATAAACACATACGGCTTGGGAAATCTTCTCTGATGAAAAGAGTGAGAATCGAGGAGAGTGCTTGGGAAAAATATTCCATGTGTTTGTTCTGCTCCTGCTTTCCCCTGGCCGTCCACACACGGTCACCTTGGAGGCGGGGTGCTGTTGATAGGGGGCCCCTTGGCCTAAATCAGTATTGCCGTTTATGTATTCTTACACACCTGAGTAATATTTTATTCATTACAGTCATATACTGGCATAGTTTGCATTTTCTTAATGTGTATAGCATTGTACAAACATTTGGGAGAAGAGAAGAAAAATATACTGCTTAAGACAGGTACTGAGTTTTGTCTCCTTTAAGTTTCCTAAGATTTAGGATTGCCTGGTAAGCAAGTCAGTGGGCTGCTTCTCTTTACTTCATCTCTGTCTCTAGAGCATGCTCCATTTTAATCCATACATTGGAACCTATTGCTGCAAAATCGGGGCCATCAGATTTTGAGGACTTGAAAGGGGCTGAGCCAGCATTGGCAATAATAAATAAAACCTAAATTATTTGTATCTGCAAGAAGAGAGAATTTGCCAAACACTTAAAATGTATCGCTGGAAGGAAATACTCCATACATCCCCTCTGTTGTGCACTGTCTAAGAAACCAGAGGAAAAATCATATTGCATTACAGCAAGACAAATACAGTAATAAAAAACCAAAAAATTAGACACATAGGCACAAGTCATTATTACAAAGCCTCCCAGAGGCGAGTGGGTCATCCTTCTGTCAGGGCTAGAACTGGATCCAGGTATGGTAGAGAAGGGCACCTTGCATGCTAAAGGCTGCAGCCAGGTGGGCGCTGGTCCTGGGGAATGAGTTCTGGGAGCCTCACATCTAATACCCTGTGGGATTAGGGTTCAGCCTCGTGGAATCCTAAATGCAGCACGTATGCAGACAGTACTAAGCCATTGAGCTTTGCACTGCCTTGGACACCAGCTCTTGGGTTGCCAGCAACCTCCTCGTGACTGCTACAGGAAGAAAAGCCTAGAGTTGGTCTCGTTTCACTGAGATTTATTTCTTTTTAGTCATCAGCAGATTACAGATGATAAAAGAATAGTCATTTTACAATTTCTTCTGAATAGAAGTGATTTCTAAACAGTGTAGAAGAATATGAACTCCAGCCTCTCTTCTCTCCAGTCTAAGGACTCCCACAGGAATCCCTGAATTCTGGTACAATGGGCCAGTACTAGCTATAGCTGAGAGGGCTTTTGAGTAACTAGAGGGAACAGAGTTCTGCTGTGGAGATTCCCCCAGGAAGGAGTACCCGGGTCGTGACCAGCTTCTGGGAAGCAAGTATAATATCATTTAAAACAGCAGGCTAAAATAAGCAAAACACTTTTGAAAGTCCAAGCTCATCTCATGCTTTACTTGTGACTGCTAGTATTAATAGAACTGCTAACAGTGTTGCTGTGTGTGCTTCAACTGCACCACAAGAAATCAAGAGCTGCAGAGCCGTTCATTCCACTGTAAAGCCGTGAGAACATCTCCTTAACACACATGAGAAATTACATTTCTATTTCAAGAAACAATTCCAGGAAGAAACGATTGTACATTAATTCAGTGGAAGCTGGCTCCTGGGAAGTGCTCTCCTTTCCCAGCCACAGTCACCAGGCCCCAGCAGCCCAGACGCTCCATCCGATCTCTCCTACCTCCAGGCACACATGTTTAGAAGCCCTGATCTCTTCCTCCTCTCCCTCCCATTCTTTCTGCATAGGACACGTTGATGATCATCCCCCTGCTTACCTGTCACGTCCTGCTCAGATGAGGGAGACAAGTGAGTTAGATTCGTAAATCCCCAATGGAGTGGACAACAGTGAGACAGGTTTCAAAGTCCACATACAGACATTTATTAATTTCCCACAATGTACTAATTGGATATGTGATAATTGGCTAAGTATATATAGTATGCCTTGTGTTACTTATTGGTAATAAGGGAAAAGGAGAAAAAGAAAAGAGGGAGAGAGACAATAGAGAAATAGAGATCACCAGTCCGGGGTCCTGCATTGTTCCCATCTGAGTTCATCAGGGAATGCATCCATCTTCTTCTTCTTCTGGTCTTCTTTTCTCTTTCTACATCTCACTCCTCACCCCCCCTCAATTTATACACACTTTCCTTGGGTCCGTCCCCCAGGGCAACCCACATACCTACATATCACATGTATGGGGGAGTAGGAAGGTACTTCATGGGATGATATAATTAGCATGATCTTGTTAATCTTCATTAGCATATTCAGGGGTGTCAACTTTAATATACCTTTCATGGATAATAAAGCAAAGGTCATTCACTGGACAGATGGCCCTTGCACCTTTACAAGAGGCACCAGGGCAGAACTGTCCTGCCTCCACAAGGCTCCCTCCTCCAGCTGCATCTTGTGCTAATCAGGCCGCCTTATCCAGCTTCAGCCTCCACATTACCCACCCCGTGACTATAGTTTCAGAACTTGCGAGTGTTTGAGACATTCCTCAGCTTGGAGGGCCTCTGCTCCCCCTCCATCCCTTAACTCTTTCTCAGGCTGTTTTTCTCAGCCCCTGTTTTGGGGAGTTACAAGTCGGCTCTCCCATTACACCACCCCACACCCATCACACCTAGCCTCCCCAACTGCTCCATCATCAGATAGACTTTGAGCATCTGAAGCCAAAGGGGCAGCCAGGGGACACCTGTGAAATGTCCCTAGGAAGGAGAAGAGCAGGGCAGAATGCATCCCGCCCAGCCTTCAGGCACAACCGTCCCTGCCCAAATGCCTGGAAGGAGATGGCAAGGGAACTACCCACCAGAGAGGCTGCCAAAGATGTGGAAGGAGGACTCTAGAATAAGAACATCAGTGGTACCAGGGGCAAGTCTTGAGCCAGAGGTTGACTGTGCCTCTCCCTGCTGGCAGCCTTGGCATCCCAGGAGGCATTACAAGCAGCAGAGACCGAGACCCTCCAGGGGAGGAGACACAAGGCTCCTCAGGAAACACTGAGGAGCACTTTTGCCATAGGTGCACAATCAGGCAACCAGCTCTGGCCAGGAAGATGCCACACTCCAAAAGTAACATTCCCAAATGGTGTATTTATTTCTCTGAACTGTGCATAGAAGGCCAGGGAGATGGAGGGGTGTGCAAAGCCTAAAGCCAGGATGTGTGGCCATCTAATCACACTCATGAAAGCTGAGGCGTAGGAGATAGGAAGGGGATCAGACACCCATCTAGGAGGACAGTGGCTCGAGGGCGAAGTGCTGTGGCATGGTGGAGCAGACCCACTGCAGCAGTCATCCTGATTGCTCCAGCAAACAGGACCCCAATGAGAAGTGAGGATATTTGTGAAAGAGCTGCTTGTGCCTCACGATTGTGGCAGCCAAACGGCAACCTCCCCTGTGGTGCTGAGGTCAGCTAAGGAGTTGGCCGATCACCAGATCCAAATCACACACCCATTTCCTTCCTGAACAACAGAAAAGTGATCGGCATGAGGCAAAACTGCGTGACCAACCCTCTTGAGAGCACAAACATGCCTCCTGTCAGTGCACTTTTCCTCACTGGAACAGAGGTCTCGCCTCAGTGGTCTCGGTTCATACC